GCCTGTTCCCCAACATGTTTGGCCTGAAGTAGCAAGGTTGGCAAGAGGCTCATCTGAACACAGACTGTTAGCAGACAGAACGTGGGGACTCAGAACAGACTAATACTAAATTTGCACTAAGTGCCAATTGACAACTGATTTGCCAAAAGATGATGTTTCAGGGGAGCTGATGTGGGAGCCGGGGGAGCCTCCAGTAAGGAGATGATTTGTACTCTCTGGGCTTGTATGCTATTGTTCTGAGTCAACACTTTGCCATGGAAAAATCCCAGAGGAAATTTTGTGATTGATTCAGTTATTTGGACTAAATCCAATTAGAGGAAACGTTTGTTCTCAGTACCCAAATTTACAAGTAGCTCGTTCTCCAGATAAAGTGATTTTTAGTTCTTTAATCATCACTATAAATGGTATAAAGGGATACGAAACACAAACACCATACATTCAAACTGTGAACAAACAGAAGCAAAATAAGAATGAAATACAACTACAGTATGCACACTCGTTACATTTCTGTACTTGAAGGGGCCAGGGAGGTAGAAAAATTCCATAACAGTGCCCTCACATTGTTCCTCAGTAGGCATCCCCTAACAGAAAGGAATTTGGAAGGCTTTCCTAGCTAATAAATCTTGGGGATTAGAGGGGAAGGGCAATCCAGCCATGTGGATATAGGACCCAGCCTACCATTTATGGGACTTCTGCCTCTGCACTTCCCACATTTCCGCATGGAAATTCAGTGGATCACCATAGGATAAAGCCATTTAATTTAGCCAGTCCCGAGTTCCTTACATATTTCTCCCATATTTCCAGTGGAAACCCCTTCCTCACACATATGGACATGGTGATGGCACAGTGGAGGCAGCACTCCCTTCACTTAAAAGCTGAGAGCAGGAGATCTGTGCATAGAGAGTCCCTTTCAAGAACGTGTGTGCATATGAGATGCTTTGAGCCTTAAAAATCAGTAGTTTTGTGTACAAACCAGAGTTAACATTTTTTTAAAAAAAGGAGCCTACAATTAGGCTCTGAAGTTTACTTTTAAGTACCTAAGGGTTGGAATTTTAAAAAGCATCTAAATGGCTTAGAAACCCAACTCCTAACATTAGTGCTAAGTTACATAGGAGCTTTTGAAAAATTTCACCTTTCTGTGCCTGTATACAGCAGTGGGGCTGAAGGGGTGACCGCCCTGTCTGCCTCCAGTGAACTTCACATGTATCTACACTGCTTTTTCACAAAGGGCTGGGGAGCAAGCCTTTCCCACACTCCCTGAGCAGTAGTTACTCCTGTCCCCTGGGGCTGGGTCCAATTCCCTGTTCTGGGACAGGTTTGGTCCTAGTCTCACTGAAAGTAAATCAGACCGAAATGCTTAAGACATGTTTGAAAAAGGTATTTAGGATCCTAAATGCAACAGGTGCTTTTGAAAACATTGCCCTAGAACCTAAAAGAGACTAGTAACAGGTTCCTTTGCTCAACTTAGACAAGGGCCTGTTTCCCTAAATTATTAGAAATGTAATACCTGGGCACCACATAGCCATGGATAACAGGCTAGATAGTTCAGGAAAACTGTGCATACCAACACTGAAGGAACTACAGTCAAAAAAACAAGTGGAAAGGTTTCTTATTGGCTAAGAAACCACTCTCTTCTGTCTCTATGGCTTTCTTACTCTGCTGGCAGCATTTTCAGTATTTCTCTAACAGAGATAGGCAGCAACATGATCTTGGCATTTGGCTGACAAAGAATATTTTTAAAAACCCTGCTAAAATCTTTAGGCCAAATCCTGCAGTCTGTACTCATTCAAAATACCTCTCTCACACACCAATAGGAGTTTTGCATGAGAAAGAACTGCAGTACTGGGAGTTTTATGAACAGCTGAATGTTTCTGGAATGTAACACAATAGTTTATTAAAGGAAGATGCCAGTGTTTTTCTCTCAAAATACTCATTAAAAATAGACCTCAACACAGCAAGCATTATTAAAACAATAACTGCAGGAATTGCAACATTTTAATAGCATCAGATGACTTACAAAAGGAAGCTAGTATCTTCCAAGCAGACTAAAGGGGTGATAAACTGTGATGGAAAAGAATTCTTCCAACAGAAAAAGTACTGAGTTTTGAATGCTGTTTACATTTGAACATGGATTTAAAAAAATACATGCAGAGAAGGAAATGTAGCATTTTATTTTTAGTCTAGGGCACCATAGTGCCATTTAAGGACTGTGGTGTATTGTCCCGGTGGAACACGAAGAGGCATTTTACAGAATGTCTTTCAGAGGCCCCTGGTGTACAAGGGAAGCACAGCTGCTACATCACCCCATTATGGCATAAGAGTACACTGCTCCCTGTGTGCTGATCCCACTCCCCAACGCAATGTGGGCGGAATAGAGCCACGCTCCTCCTTCCTCCCTGTCTGCTTTGGGACATTTTGCTTCAGGGAGGGTAGCCAATTAGTCTGTAACAGGAAATTTTTTTAAAACAATGAATAGTCTAGTAGCACCTTAAAAACTAACAAAACGTGTAGATGGTATCACGAGCTTTCATGGGCACAACCCACTTCTGGTTGTGTCCACAAAAGATCATGATTCCATCTACAAGTATTGTTAGTCTTTAAGGTGCTACTAGACTATTTGTTGTTTGATAAGATAATGCTAATGCTTATTGGTTAACCAGAAACCAGTTAAACTCTTACATAGCTAACTTACACAGAAATGCAAAATGGTATTTTCTTTAGAAAAACTAATAATGATGCCCAAGGTCAGTGTTCCCTGTAAGCTGCGCACTTGTATAGCCTCTTGGAAGAGATTCAAATGCCATCAAGGTGATTAAGAGTGCCCACAGCTAGATTTTTTATTTCTACTAGTGTTTGTACGTGCCTCAGTGCTCCTACAAATGTATTCTGCTCATAGATGGGAAAAATCTGCATATGGATGGAAAAGATTAGAGGAACATTACCCAAGGTTAGAAGATTCAAGGCAACTTCCTTCCTTTTCTTTTTTCAGTCAACAATATTTGAGAGAGAGAAAAACATTGACTGGAAGCAAGAATGTTTGATGGAGGTTTAGAAACACACATCAGATTCAAAGTAAACATAGCAAATAATTTTGAAGGTTTAACCGTATTTAATTATTTATATTTTAATCCTATATAACTGCTGATCTCAGAAGACACTCCAAACTGAACAGAAATTAAAAAGAGCATGTCACCTTTTAACCCCATATTCTGCTCTATACTGCAGCCTCACACGTTCAAATTTCCCAAGCTTTGTAAAACCAAATAAAGATCTGTTTTCAAAGCTGAACAAATATGTGAAAGAAGCAGCAGGCTTCTGCAACAACAAAAAAGTTTCCATATAATATGAAGATCAGGCTTTAATTTCCAAATCCACTCATGATTATTGAAAACAGAATTAACTTTTCACCAGTGCCAGGCAACAGTTCATAAATCCCATCTTACTCCAAGCTATTACCATGGATGTTGCCTCAAGGCATTTCCTCTTGACTACATACAATTTTCTAACATAGCAAACTGAATTGGTGTGTAACTGCATTACGCACACTGTAGACTGAAATCCCTACGGAGACTGTTGTAGATTTCTAGGTGTTAAATAGTTGAAATTATTTAACTTTTAAAATAATAGTGTGTCCATTTTTACAATACAAAAAACCTCACACTTAATTAAATACAGTAATAGCCATTAAAAAGTCAATATTTCTCACCAATTACCATGCACCAATATAGCCTATACTAAGCATAGGTAAATACTGTGGTATCTCAGAGACCACTGTGTGGTAACTGTTGCAAATAATGACTTTAATGCAGTCCACTGTGTTGGGGAGCTGGAAGGAAAGGGAAAAAATCACAAGACTATAAATTGTGCTGCACATGGGTAGATTTCTCTTCTAGTGCAATGAGCTTATTTGACCTAGAGGCATGAATTTTCACCTTTTCAACAAAGCCCCCCCCATCCATTGATCTTCATGGATAATGTAAAGTCCATCTGTTCACACTGGCTTTCATCTGTAGGCTTGATGATGAGCTATATCTGTGCATATTACAGGCAGTCCCCGGGTTACGTACAAGATAGGGACTATAGGTTTGTTCTTAAGTTGAATTTGTACGTAACTCGGAACTGGCTCCAGATTCAGACGCTGCTGCTGAAACTGACCAGGGGCTGACTACAGGAAGCCTGAGGCAGAGTTGCTCTGCCCCCAGCTTCCTGGAATCAGCCACTGATCAGTTTCAACAGCGG